TTTTCTCCTTCACAGATGCTGCCAGACCTGCTGAGCTTTTCCAGCAACTTTGTTTTTATTCTTGATTTACAGCATCCGCAGTTCTTTTGGTTTTTATTTAAGTTTATTATAGCGTTGGTAAAAGAACGAAGAAAATCAAGACTGGTATGATGAAACAAACTCCTGATAACCTGAGAAAGAAAATTCAAAAAGAAACTGCAGCTGCTGTAAACCTGAAACGCCTGAAAAGGTTGGACTGAGCAGGTCATGTGGCAAAAGCCCAGAAAATCTTTGTTTGTTCTGAGTTCCAACATTTCCTTTTCTTGTGAAAGAGGGAACTTGGTGAATAGAGCAGAAAGAAAAAGGAGCATCAGTTAGAGGAAAGTATTTTCCTATGCCCTGTCTCAAGTTACAAAGAAATCTGAGAAGAAAATCCCGCTTGTAGTAATATTCATGCATCTCAGGGGCAGCTTTTGCAATGGAAAAGATGTGGAAGTTTAGTTTGTGATTTAGAAGCAATGTGGTCAAGAAACTACCAGAGGTGCCAACACTGTGGTAAACAGACAGGAGTGGATGGCCTTGGAAGTCCTTAATAGTGATTTTGGATTGTATGAAGCCACTTGGCCTCAGGCCAAACAAGAGCAAAGAAATCTGCTGCTTAATTGCTACCTCTTGCCTTCCTTCAGGTGATGAATCAGTTCTTCATCTGGTTAAACATCACTTGCAAGAAGCACTGAGGGTAGCAAGGGCTGAGTGACTTAAGTGTTTTTCACTAAGGTACCTCTGTAGCATCGAAGCTAAATGGATCTCAAAGAACAAATGTACCATACTCGGCTTGTGGCAGAATAGAATAGCATAGAACCAACATGAGGGGAAAACCTACTTGACCTTGTCCTCACCAGTTCTCCTGTCACAGATATATCTGCCCATGACAGTAACCATTGCAAGATCTTTGTGGAGACAAAAAGAAATCATCTTCACATTGAGGACTCTCTCCATGTTTTTTTCAAAAAATTGTTCAAGGCATGTGACTGTCACTGGCTAGGCCGGCATTTATTGCCTGTCTGTAATTGCTCTGGAGAACATGGTGCTGAGCTGCCTTCTTGAACCATTGCAGTCCTTGGGTTGTGGGAACACCATAGTGCTGTTAGAAAAGAAGTTCCAGAATGATTACCTAGTAACAATGAAGGAACAGCAATATAATTCTAAGTCAGGATGGTGTGTGGTTTGGAGGAAACTTGCAGGAGATGCATGGAAATGTATGCAGGAGATGGTATTTCCATGCATCTCCTGCCCATGACCTTCTTTGTGACAGAGGTCATGGATTTGGAAGGTGCTGGTGACTTACAGTAGTGCATCTTGTTGATGGTGCACATTGCTGCCTCTGTGAGCTGGTAGTGAAGTAAATGTTGAAGGTAGGAGATATAATGTCAAACAAGTGGCCTGCTTTATCCTGGCTGGTGTCAAGCATTGAGTGCACCCATTGAGGCAAGTGGAGAATTAGCCATCACATTCCTGATTTGTACCTTGTAGATGATGGATCGGAATTGCAGAGATTGAAGGTGAGTTACGCACTGCAAAATTCCTAGCATATGACCTGCTCTTGTAACCGCAGTAGTTAAATGTCTAGTCTAGTTCATTTTCTGGTCAATGGTCACCCTCAGGATGTTGATGATCAGGGTTTTTGTAATGGTAATGCTATTGAATGTCAAGACATTTTTTAAGACATGCTCATTGCCTGATGTTTGCATAGAATGAATGTTACTTGCCACTTATTAGTCTGAATCTGAATGTTGGCCAAGTCCTGCTTATTGATACAGACTGCTTCTGTAACTGAGGAGTGTGCTTAATATGGCACAATCATCAATGAGTATCTCAATTCCAACCTAAAATGGAGGGAAAACATTGATGAAGCAGCTGGAGATAATTTTGCATATGACACAACTCTAAGGATCTCCTGCAGTGATGTCCCTGAACTGAGATGATGCTCCTCCAAGAACTACAAGCATCTTCCTTTTTGGTAGGTAGGATTCCAACTGGAAAGCAGATTTACCTCTAATTTCCATTGACTTCAGTTTTGCATGGGCTTCTTGATGCCGTACTCAGTCAAAAACTGCCTTGATGTCAATGGCAGTCACTCTAATCCTATTTCTGGAGTTGAGCTGTTTTGTCCATGTTTGGAGCAAGGCTGCAATGAAATCAGGAACTGAATGGCTGTGGTGGAACCTAAACTGAGCATTAATGAGTATTGTTATATTCAAAGTTGTTGTTATTTCTTTTCCAGCTAAAAGGAGAGCGCAATTTCAGTTGCTGGTAGGCTTGAAGGTCTGCGTTCCAACTATTTCTCTTTTCTCAATTCAGTGACAAACTGACTTATGACCAATCCATAAGCTGTTGCTGGACAGTTACTTTTTATTGCTCCAAAAGACAATGGATGCCAGTGCAAAAGCATCAAATCTTGTTCCAGCAAAAGGACATGGCACATTTCCATTTTTCCTTCAAGTTGAAATCTATCCCATTTGGCACAATGGTACTGCCACACAATATGATGGAAGATATCTTCAATGTGAACTTGGGTCTTTGTGTCCACAATGGTGGTCACACCTAACAATGCTGGTCACACCTAACAATGCTGTCATGAACAGATAAATCTGAGAGAGGTAGATTGGTGAGGATAAAGTCAAGCAGGTTTTTCCTTCTTGTTGGTTTCCTCACCATCTATTGCAAACTCAATCTAGCAGCTATACCTTTTATAACTTTGCCGGATTGGTCAGTAGCGGAGCTACCAAACGATTCTTCGTGATGGACATTGAAGTCATTGCCACCTTCAGTGCAACCTCCAAATGGTATTCATCATAGAGGAGTATTGATTCATAAGCTATAGAGTTTGCTAAGGATGTGTTTGGGGTGGAAATGGTAAATGGGCATCAGAAAGAGGTTTCTTTGCTCATGTTTGACTTGATTCCATGAGATTTCATCGAGTTTGAAATTAATGTTGAAGACTCCCAAGGCAACTCCCTCTTGACTGTTGTGCAGTACCACCAACTATTCTAATTGCAGTAGATTCAGAACAGAGCAGCCGAACAGGGAATGGTAATGTTATTCGAAGAGTAATCTAGTAGCCCAGGCTAATGCTCTAGGGACACAGGATCAAATCTCATCAGAGCAGCTAGTGAAATTTAAGTTCAATTAATAAATATGGAATTGAAAATTAGCTGCAGTAATGGTGACTTTGAAACTATCATTGTTGTTGAAACTCCATCTGGTTCATTAATGTCCTTTAGGAAAGGAAGCCTGCTGTCCATGTGACTCCAGACCCATAGAAACATATTTGACTCTTAAACTGCCCTCTGAAATAGCCTAGCTAGTCACTCAATTCATGGACAATTAGGGATGGCCAACAAATTCTGGCCTAGTGAATAATTCCCACATTCCATGAAAGAATTAAAAAAAAGGTAATCATGAGGCACCGTAGGGCCTTCAACAGCAACAGTAGAATTGAATTTCACAACAATCTGTAATTCGTAGTCCAGCCTGTACGTCACTATACCATTACTGTCAAATCAGTTGACCAACTGTGTTCATTGAGGAGTGTTAAAGAATATGCCAGGAACAGCACCAGGCATGCTTAAAAACAAGATGTCAACCTGATGAAGCTACAATACAGCACAAAATACCAGAAATTGAGGTATTTACTCAAGCTGGAATGTCAAGAATCCATGACATATTGAGTCACTTGTGACTGAATTGGGCTGGTCATGTAACCAGAATGCCTGACACTTGCTTACCAAAGCCAATCTTCTGGGGAGAGCTTGAATCTGCTCTATACATTTATGATTGTCAAGTGAAACGCTACACACTCTGAAGGCTTCACTTAAGAGTTTTGATACCAACATTGAATCTTGGGTGAAGCTCATCCAGGATTGTGCACAGGAGGATGCAACCAAATAAAAGATAGTGCATCCTCCTGTGAAAGCAAGCACATATCAAAGGCAGAGAGAAGATGCAAGGAGAGGAAATCCCAAGCCAGCAACTTGTTTAAAGCTTAGTGGTCTGTAGTGTCCTATTTGCAACATAACTTTCTAGGCACAGATCACCTGTTGCAATGTCCTATCAAACAGTCTAGATGACAAACATAGCCATTCTTGCCTTGAAGGATGAGCATGAGATAACAAAGAGCTACATGCATGTTAAACAGTGGGAGAAAATTCTGCAGTCTTGCCATTTTGATTGTGTAATTACACAACTAACCAGACAAGCCTAAATCATGGGGGAAGGCCAGATATCAGAATAAAAGGAAAACTGAGGCAATGAACTATACAGTCATAGTTATACAGCATGTAAACAGACCCTTCTGTCCAACTCATTTGCGGTGACCAGATGTCCCAATCTGATCTAGTCCCATTTGCCAGCATTTGGTCCATATCCCTTTAAACCTTTCCTAATCATGTACCCATCAAATGCCTTTTAAATGTTGTAAATGTACTCGCCTCCACCACTTCCTGTGACATACACCATTTACCACTTTCTGTGTGAAAAAGTTGCTCCTCAGGTCCCTTTTAAATGTAACCCCTCTCACCTTAAACCCAAGCCCTCTAGTTTTGGACTCCCCTACCCTTGGAAATAGACCTTGGCTATTCACCCTATCCATGCTTGTGATGATTTTATAAACCTCTATAAGGTCAACCGTCAGCCTCTGACGCTCCAGGGAAAAAAAAAGCCCCAGTCTATTTGGCCTCACCCTATAGCTCAAATCCTCCAAACCAGGCAACACACTCCCCTCCAGCTCCACCACACCCGGCACTTTTCCCTGCAACCGCAGGAAGTGCTACACCTGCCCCCATACCTCCTCCCTCACCCCCATCCCAGGCCCCTAGAAGACTTTCCACATCAAGCAGATGTTCACCTGCACATCTGCCAATGTGGTATACTGCATCCGCTGTACCTGTTGTGGCCTCCTCTACATCGGGGAAACCAAGCGGAGGCTTGGGGACCGCTTTGCAGAACACCTATGCTCGGTTCGCAATAAACAACTGCACCTCCCAGTCGCGAACCATTTCAACTCCCCCTCCCATTCCTCAGACGACATATCCATCCTGGGCCTCCTGCAGTGCCACAACGATGCCACCCGAAGGTTGCAGGAACAGCAACTCATATTCCGCTTGGGAATCCTGCAGCCCAATGGTATCAATGTGGATTTCACAAGCTTCAAAATCTCCCTTCCCCCTACTGCATCCCAAAACCAGCCCAGCTCGTCCCCGCCTCCCTAACCTGTTCTTCCTCCCACCTCAAGCCGCACCCCCATCTCCTACCTACTAACCTCATCCCGTCCCCTTGACCTGTCCGTCCTCCCTGGACTGACCTATCCCCTCCCTAAGTCCCCACCTACACTCACCTTTACTGGCTCCATCCCCGCCTCTTCGACCTGTCTGTTTCCTCTCCACCTATCTTCTCCTCTATCCATCTTCTATCCGGCTCCCCCTCTCTCTCTATTTATTTCAGAACCCCCTTCCCCTCCCCCATTTCTGATGAAGGGTCTAGGCCCGAAACATCAGTCTTTTTGCTCCTATGATGCTGCTTGGCCTGCTGTGTTCATCCAGCTCTGCACCTTGTTGTCTCAGATTCTCCAGCATCTGCAGTTCCTACTATCTCTAACATACTTGTAAATATTTTCTGAGCCTTTTCAAGTTTAACAATATCCCTCCTGTAGCAGGGAGACCAGAATTAAACTTGCATGTGGTGATGTTCCCATGCATATGCTATACTTATCCTTCTAAATAGTTATGTTGCAGGTTGGAAGGTGCTGTTGAAACTGTTTTTTCTAAGAATAAAATAGTTTCAACAGCAATATAGAGTTGTTTCAGTACAGTCATAAGACTGGCTTCTACCAGAATATGTGGAAAACGGCCGTGGTATGTCCTCTACTCAAAAGCAGGACAAATCCAACCTTGCCAATTACCACCCCATTAACCTACTCTCATTAATCAGAAAAGTGATGGAAGGGGTCATCAGTAGTGAATCAACCAGCACTTGTTTCACAATAACTTGCTTGCTGATGCTTAATTTGGATTCACCAAGCCACTCAACTCCTGACTTCATTATAGGGGAGGCAATGGCCTAGTGGTGTTAATCCAGAGACCCAGCTAATGTTCTGGGGACCTGGGTTTGAATCCTGCCATGGCAGATGGTGGAATTTGAATTCAATAAACATCTGAAATTAAGAATCTAATCTTGACTGTGAATACATTGTCAATCGCCAGGAAAAACCTATCTTGTTCACTAACCCCCTTTAGGGAAGGACACTGCCATCCTTCCCTGGTCTGGCCTACATGTGACTGCAGACCCACAGCAAGACTCTGAACTGTCCTCTGGGCAGTTAGGGATGGGCAATAAATGCTGCCTAGCCAGTGATGCCCTCATTCCGTGAATGAATAAAGGAAAAAAAAATTATAGCTGGTTGGAGTCATAACTGGAGAAAGGGAGATGGTTGTAGTTGTTGGAGGTCAGTAACTTCAGCTGTAGGATATCTGCAGATTTTCTTCAGAGTAGTGTCCAATCTTTGATCAGTCATAGGTCAGAATTGGGATGCGTGCTGATGATTGCACAACGTTCAGCATTATTTGCAACTCCTTAAGACACTAAAGCAGTCCACGTCTAAATGCAGCAAGACCCAGATATAATCTAGTTTTGGGAAGGGAAGTGGCAAGTAACATTTGCACCACACAATCTCTAACAAGAAAGATAACTAACCATTGTCTCTTGACATTCAAAAGTATTGCCTTCACTGAATCCTCCATTATCTATATCCTGAGGGTTACCATGACTAAAAATTGAATTGGACCAGGCATGTAAATACTGTAGCTACAAAAGCCGATCCGAGGCCAGAAATCCTGCAGTAACTCACTTCCTGACTCACAAAGGCATGTCCATAAACTACACGGCACATATCAGGAGCATGATGAAATACTTGCCACTCACTTGGATGAATGCAACTCTAACAACAGTCAAGAAACTTGACATCATCGGGGATAAAACAACCTGCTTGATTGGCACATCATAAACATTCAATCTCTCCAAAGGCAGCTTTCTACACCTTCCCCAGTGCAACTAGGTAAGGACAATAAATGCTGGCCCAGCCAGTCACACCCACATCCCATGAATGAATTAAAAAAAAATCTGGACTGATGTTATCATTGCTTAATCCAGGGTCATGAAATGATGGTTAGGTTAAAATTAGTGTTACACTGAGCTGGGAATTAAATCAATGGGTTTAAATGTCTGTCTCCATTCTGCTCAATTTTATTTTACATTGTTTTCAAAAGACATTAATACATGTTATAAACTGGGTGTCAAAACTGAATCAATTTCATTGCTACTGGCCGAGCTAGTTTATAACTAAGGCTTGAAAATCATGACTGAGCACAGCCTTGGGATTACTACAGAGTTTTGAATTTTATGAATATTTAGTTTCAGTTTAACTTTGCTAGAAAAAACATTTATTATTTGGTAGTAGTTCTATCGTAGATGGGGAAGTGAGATCATACGTAGATCTTAGGTGAAGTAGATCTTAGATAGGATGGCATAATAGACTGGCATTCCAGGCGAAATGGAATCACAGTTTTAAAGAATGAGGAAAGTTTTTAAATTGCTTACTGTTTATTCTTTACATTTACTTTTTCCTGAAAACGGGCTGCTGTGAAACTTGTGCACATATTTCCTCATTTGAGTCAACTTTTAAGCAGACCTTTAAAGAATGCCTAACGTTACTGCCAGATGCTTTTGAATGTGAATGGAGTCTTACATTTGTCGTAAGGTTTCAGTTCGAAGTTCCAAGATGTCCATCCGCCTGCCCTCAAAAAGTAGAAGTTAAATTGACTGGAGCAAAGGAGTTTCTGTGTAATCTAGACCGGTGAGCTTGGAACTGCAAAATTGAGGTACTACAGCATGACCTCTGTACAAAAACATGCAAACTTGTTCTGTAATTACATAGACATATTCCATTTTAAATATACAAGTATTTATAATGGGGAAAAAAGTTGATATAAGTATGGCAAAAACACAACAGGATATGTAGCTTAGTAGACAGGAATGCATGCAGATATAATGCAATGTATTCTCTTCATTTTTTCTAGAGTGGTGATGCTTTTTCTTGGATCAAAGTGTCACAAATTTCAGTCAAAAGGATTGTTACTGATTTGATATCTCAAGCACGTTTCCAATTATTCTAAAGTACAAACGCTCCTGTATGCAAGTGTGTTGCACCGAAAACAGTGCTGAAGACTAGCAAGGAAGATGGCGGATAATGGAATGACATTTTATGAATTGTCTGCGGAACTTCTCAATGGTGAGATCTTCAGTTTCTCCAATCTCGTAGGAAAGGTGGTGTTGATTGAAAATGTTGCATCCTTATGAGGCACAACTATCAGGGATTACCACCAGATGAATGAGCTCCAGAGTCGCTATGGCAACCAGGGGTTTGTAATTCTGGGTTTTCCCTGCAACCAATTTGGCTACCAGGTAAACTGAACATTTTTTGAGACAAATACATTGTCCTTTCTTGCAGAACATTTATCACATATTTTAATTGATTTGGTTTCTAGTATAAACCTAAATAAATTAGTGACTTATGTTATAGCAGCCCCAGTTTATACAACAAATTAATACATTTCTGATAAAACTTAAAATGTTATCTTATATAGCCATTTAAATGCGAATTTTTTGAATTCCAAATTTCAAATTCAGATTAAGACAATAGTTTTATTTTAAGGAAATTCTTTTCAGTTTCCTTATTCATTTATCTTAAAGTTTGTAATGATAATTGCTAACCAAATAATCGCTGATTAGTTCACACTTTTATCGTTTAAGTAAAACTGCGCAATTAAGGATCGCTGATCAATTTAATCTCAGTAATACTATGCAAATCACCTTAAACAAAATCTATGATCAGTTGGGAGTGACAGTAGAAAGTGATAAATTCAACAATTTTTTTTACTTTGAAAGAAGTACTTGTATTCATCTAAAACTTTACCACATCTTAGACACCTCAAAGCATATCACATACAGGTTAATTGGAAGTGCTTTTATTTTTGAAGCTACTTTAGCATTTTAAAAGATCAGTTAAATTCAGATAATTTGCATTCTTCAGGTCAATCAGCATCTGTAGCGAGAATATTCAAGTTGCTCCCAAGAGGATGATGATTGACCAGCTGTGTGTTTCCATAGTGGTCCCAAAGGCTTGTCGAAAAATAAATCTGCAATTTAGAAATCTACAAATTTAATTTACCTTTACGTTGACTTTGTAGGAAAATATCTACAATGAAGAGATTCTTAATTCCTTGAAATATGTCCGTCCAGGCAATGGCTTTGAACCAAATTTCTATTTGTCCAAAAAGATTGAAGTGAATGGAGAAGATGAGAATCCTGTCTTCACTTTTCTGAAGAAGAAGTTGCCTGAAGCGTATGACGATCCTGACATCTTAATGCGGGATCCAAAGTTTATAGATTGGAAGCCAGTCCGTCGCTCTGATATTGGCTGGAATTTTGAGAAATTCCTTATTGGGCCAAATGGGGAACCATATAGGCGATACAGCAAAAATTTTCTCACTATTGAAATTGAAGATGACATCAAATTTCTTCTTCCAAAGGATGAATGACTTGGTGATAATACAGATAACTAAGTTAAAATTTAGTGTATTACATGTTGAATGCTAGGTGTTATATTACATGATGGCAGTTTTAAAAAGATATATAATTTAGCCGCTAGTATGCAATGAGTTATAAACTTTAAGGGATACAGCAACAGGTATGCAATTAGATTTACTGCATTAGCTGTGGTGATTTTCTAATTGGCCTGTTCAATGTTTAGAATGTAATTTGTTGTAAATGGAAAATACACAGAACCCGCTCTTGCCCAAAAGAAAGTTCTCCCAAAGAATGGGGGGAGGGCAAAGAGAGATTCTCATTTCTTTACTATGTGAGTCAACTTAGTTTCTGATGTTAGGCATTTTACTATATGATGGTACTTTTTCAAAGTCTACTGGGAAGTACTTAATGTAGCCTGTAAAAGTCTAACTGGACATAGAAACTAATCTGTTACAATCTAATATGAAAGGAGACTGTTCCAATAAATGTTTTTTTCTGGTCAAAATATTGTTTCATTTCTGCTTCATTATATAGAGACTTAAACTATGCAAAATTGGAGGTAGTTTTTCATGAGATATCCTACCAAATTTTATCTCATGCATTATATTTCTACTGCAACTGCATACATGAAATAATCCTTCAAAATCTGTCTAATGAAAGGTATTAATTCTAAAACAACTCCACATAAATGCCCAAATATTAAACCAATTCAATTCAAATTATTAAAAATTATTCAACATTGTCTATTTTCCAAGCTTATATTTGACCATTCTGTATTACATTTTCAAATGAATCTTATGGGTTCAATGTGAAGAATATTCATTTTGTTCTTGAAGCAGGAAACATATGCTGTCATTATTTAAGTTGAAAACTACCTTTTTTACACAATGATCTGTCTTTCATTGATATTTCATAGCATTTTGGCTGAAATACAGCTTTTAAGTAATTGAGAGTTCCCTAAATTTTAGTTGGGACATGTTTGCCTATTGTACCAAGGATATCATTATGTACATTTACAGTAGCATGTGCTGGATTGATAACAATGTGATGTAGCAATGCTTTGGACCTGGTTTTTCAGGAAAAAAAAGGAAGTTGTTCAATGTGTTTTTAGTGGATCAGGATTTTCTTTTTGATACATTTACTTAAATGTCCCTAATGGCTTTAAGGCACTGTTTACTAAATTCAAAACTTCAACTATGGCACGATTTAGCCCTCAACATCATAAAACTAACTAGCCAATTATTACACACTGTTTGTGATAGCTCACTGCATATAAATAAGCTGTTTCCTATAGCTAAGTGTCAAAAATTATTTCATTGGTTGTAAAAACTTTGAAACATCCTGTGGTCATGGGGCATGATATAAATCAACGCTTTCTCACTGGATCTCTTTCAAATAGAGATGAATTGTTCTGTTTGGTCCTCTGAGGCAGCCTAGGTATGTTTGTTACTCAGGGTGAACCTGCTTGAGTATTTGAAGCTTGCCATTGTGTTTAAATGGGTTCCAAAGTTGGAACAGCAGTAATAGGCTGGTATAATGGCCACAGGCTAAACCATAAGAAGGGTAATGTTTATTAGGAGCAGAACATGCTAATATGCTTGAATGAGGCACAAGCAGTCAGGGAGGCCAATCCTTTACTAATCACTGAACAGGTAAATAAGGACGAGAGGTCAATCTTTCCTACAATGCTAGTGGTATCAATGGTTACCCTTCAGATAGGGGAGGATAACGAAGGGATGAATGAGTTTATCATTTCTTTAAAAACTGTTGAGGCACAGGGCATTGCCCAATATGCTGGCAAGACTGAAAAGAATAAAGAGCACCATTGTCAAGCTTTAGCAGCCTCTTTACCACAGACTGGTGTAGACTGGAAAGGATCAAGGTATTGAATGCCTGCAATAATGGAACCTAAATAGCACACCAACACCAGGTCACCTCCTGCTGCTTACCCAGTTCAAGTTGCAAATGTCAGGTACTATATTTCCTAGTGCGCCCTAGGCCTTTTCAGACTATGCATACTAGTATACATCTGGATTGTGCCAACTTTGTCAAGCAACTTACCTGCATGACATTTAGCTTAGTTTTAAGCTTGTGCTTTTTCTTGATGTATGCACCTTTTTGATAGTAGATGACATTTCATCCATGGTTGAAAAGTGTTTTCTTCAAAACAATTTAGCAATCTCCATGCCATTCTAATCATACTAATCTTTGTGCACTAATTTTTGGCCTGAGTTTTACTGGCTACAGAGTACGATGCATTGAAGATTAAATTTTTGACTCAGTGAGGCTGTAGTCTACTCAATGCTAGACTTCTGAGGTCATGTGATCTCAAAATGTTTGACATTCTTTGATTAGTTTTCATATCTGCTTGGAAGACTGAATAGTACATTGGTAACACATGTATCCTAACAAGCTGTATTATATCTGTTGCCCTTCCTCAAATGCTATATTTAATTTCTTTTTCGATTCAAGGCATAAGCTAGTATATTTATTTCCAGTTATCTTGAGGGTTTTTCTGGGGATGCTGGGATAGTAAACAAAGTATTAACAACAGGAGTCAGCCCAGGATCGTCTAAAGCTAGTCTCAGCAGTCATAATTTGTTGGTTAGCATTGCTGTCTCACAGCACCAGGGACCTGGGTTCAAGTCCTCCCTCAGGCAACTTTGTGTGGAGTATGCACATTCTCAGTGTCTCGTGGGTTTCCTCCCACAGTCCAAGATGTGCAGACTAGGTGGATTAACTATGCTAAATTGCCCATAGTGTCTAGGGATGTGTAGGCTAGGTGGATTAGCCAGTGGAGGTGCAGAGTTGCAAGGATTGGATGGGATGCTGTTCAGAGGCGATATGGACTTGTTGGGCCAAATGGTTTCTACACTGTAGGGATTCTATGAGGATGAGTTAGCACAAAGTTGCTGACAGTTGCATTTCACTTCAAATTGTGAAATATGTATTTTACAATCCATTCGAAATGCTGCATTGGTCAACATTGAGCACTTAAAATAGACTTCGATCAGCAGTGTTGCATAAGGGTGCTGATGTGCACACTATTGCAGATGGAGAACTTAATCCAGCGACATATTAACTCCATTTGCAACATATACAAGAATGTGCATTTCCGATTTTACAACATAAGGCCATAAGACACAGGAGCAGAAATTAAGCCATTCAGCCCACACGTCTGCTCTGCCATTCAATCATTGCTAATAAGTTTTTCATCCCCATTCTCCTGCTTTCTCCCCTTTGATAATCAAGAACCTATCTTAAATATACTCAATGAGCTGGCCTCCACAGCTTTCTGTGGCAACGAATTCCTTAAGATTCACCACTCTCTGGGTGAAGAAGTTTCTCTAAGCCAGCTCTGATAGGAATTGCATTTCACTTTGCCAAGTCAGTTTCAAAATGCTCAAATGAGCATATCGTCAAAGGGATTTACGGAATTTTTAACATCCTTTCTGCAGATGACATTAGGAGGACGAGTGACTTTGAGAATTGTCTAAGCAATTGTAATACAACTGTTGTCAGAGAAAACCTCACTCACTGAAAGAATGCTTCTTAGATACACTACAAGTTGATGTACTTCATACCTTTCCCTATGCTAGTTTTTTATGTTTGCTTCAGAACAATACACAGTCTGATCAAATGATGGATTCTCTTGTTGAATGATGATCAGCGAAGAATGGAATCATTCACTGTCTTGGTTGATGTCGTTCCAGGTGATGTTAATCCAAATTATATAAATCTGTGATAGAATCTGCAAATCAAAGTTACTGTTGAAGGGGTGGGAGAAGTACAACTTTTGTGGCATGCTCACTTGTCTTTGACAAGACTCTTGCTCCCAAATGTTGAAATTGCTAGGTGATAAACTCTTCCATTTACATACATCCAGGGTTATATTTCTCCCCCATGTAATAAAAAGTAAAATTTGAGTTTCACCATTTAAAATGAACTAAAAAGTTCCATACAAGCAAACACAGAAATGTTTGTTTAGTGTGTATGCCCAATACTTCAATTTCTAGAAATTCAGGCTTCCAACCTGAGCAAGAAACTGGGTCATCAGTAAAAAAATACCATAAGAAATCCAGCAACTGTTTGTCCTTCTAGTTTTGTATGCTGATTTGAAAATAGGAGATGGATATATTTAATAAGCTTACAAAAAGTGTCTACAGTCACATTGATGAAATAACCTTTATATTTTCTGATCGAAATATCCTTTGTTATTAATATGAAATCTAGTAATTTTACACTTCACTAGTCACTTTTATAGTACCACTAATGACCTAATGTATAAAAACAAATATAATTTATAACTTTCACCAGGTATTTTAAGTGGAAAACTCAATTCTGTTTGCATGTAGGGCAGGATTAAACAACATGGAGAAGGGGCAGGGCAAGAGAAATAAATGGTGAAAACAGTACTACCCAAGGTTGATGTAATTAATAAAGTTATAAATAGCATGTAAAATATTGCTGTTATCAACATTCAATAGAGAAATGGTGACAGCTTTACATTTTTAAATATTTAGGTAGTCAACATTGTGGTTTTGCAAATCAGGAAGAACAACTGTGAAATATTCAGACTAAGCAGGGTTAGAAATGAAGGGACAAGTGGTAAAAGGCATAGATCTGGGAGGAAATACAGCAGGCCATTGTTATTTAATTCACTCACTGTTCCTGATGGTTTTGGAAGGAGTAAATGTTTAAGGATGAAAGAAAGAGAGATCTGGACAGGTATAGGGAGGCAGAAATAAGCTGTCATATTCTAGGAACATTTCAGCTCCGAGATGACAACAATAGCACAGCATGGCCTCGGAGAGGGAAGGGAATCTCTAGTTACATTACAAGTGACTTCAACGAATTAGAATACTGTGGCTCAGCCAGAATGCAGGAAAAAGTGTGGGTAAAGCTAATGACATTGGTGCAAAGAGTAATTACAGCACTACCTACAAGCAAACATTGATATTATAATTGATTTTGCTAGAGATCATGGTTGCCAAGTATTTTAAGTGCATTTGAAACAGAATATTTGGACCCACTCAATACAATAAATTGATATATTGAGATCCTGAATGTATTTCTCAATACACTGTAGCAGTGGTCATATAAGACTGTAAAAGTCAGTATTTTCTATAGAGGTTTTAGCTTGAATTAAGGTTTATTACATTATTTCCGAACTATTTGCCAATTTTTGTTAGAAACCAAAAGGAGGCCATATAATAATAGCTAAATCATTTTTATCAAAACTTGGTGTTCAAACAACAAAACTATTTCCTCTCCTTACAGTGAGCCCACATGACAGACAAGTCACAGCTCCAATCAGCAGTCTTTATTTATGTAGAGATATGTATTAAAACCAGCCACTTACAAAGTGCCAGTTTGAGCAAAAAGACTAGAAGAAACTGATGTGAAATTTACATTACAATACATACCAGCAAGGTTATGCTGGTTTGGATCAGTATCGCACCTGGGGTTTGGAAACCTCTGTTCCTGTGCCGCCTATAATACAATATAATATTACAAATTTTATTATCCGAGTCACAGTAGCCAAACCACATATAAACCAGTGCTCTGCTACAAATTTATAATGCAAGATTTCCAGGTTAAGATGCAAGGTGTCATTCATGCAAAGAAATACCATTATACCAATAAGAGGAAACAATACAGGCAATGCAAGTTCTGTGACATAACTTAAAATTTCAAATTGGGCAGAAAATTAATGTGGGAAGGAAGGGGGGAAAACTGCAACCCTTTTCAAAAACAAACCAAACCAAAATCCCTATCTTAAATAGCTGATGAGAAAAAAAACTCACTTAATTTCCAAAGCAGTTTATTTTACAGTACTGACATCCATCAATTGCATCAGAAATCAGTAGATTCTGAAAGAGAGCATGTTATTTTTGCTCACCCATTCATTCAGATTTGATCAATTTTGTTTTTAAAAAGTTGCTGTTATCAAGAGGTTTCTTGTCCTGACCCTGAAGACAGCTGGTGCTGATGGTAGAGCAACACAGTCCAAAAACAGTTGATCTAATTTCTTGTTGCTAAAATCATGCAGTTTCATCTTAGTTGGTATCCATTTTATCATCTTCATTTTTTCTATTCTCACCATTCTCTTCAGGAGTACTCAAGGAAGCAGGTGAACTGTTGTACTGGCTATTAGAGTCTCTACGTTGGTAGAAAAGAACATAAGCTGCTTTTGTCTAGGAGAAATGAAGAAATCCCAGTTAGTGATCAAGTTTTGTTGGTGGGAGCAATGCAATTTACTGCACATAAGGGAAAAACAACTTGCATTTGTTGCTGCTTCTTCAAAATCCTTTCTTAATCTATTTCTTGACCTGGGTCAGGTTACTCAAGATTAAAGTAAATAGGCAACAAGGTGGCAGATGGGTTAAGTACCAAGTTACTTACTTGGTAGTCAGAATTTAAAAAACAAACTTTAAAAGGTGTGAAACTTCTAAATGCTGATGTTCAAAGGAAACTTCAACTTACATAGGGAAATAAAAAGATACAGGAAGCATTCAAGGTAAAGAAAAGGTACACTATTTTGGCTGGTACAATGAGAAAGGGTTGTCCTATGATGAGATGTGGGCGTATGTTCTCAAGTTTAGAAGAATAAGAGTCAATCTTATTGAAACATAAAAGATTGAGGAGGCTTGGCAAAGTAGATAATAAGTTATCTCTGTTAGCTGGGAGAACAGCCTTCAGACTGATCATTTAAAATTGAGATAGGGACATTTTTTCCACTCGGATTTTGAGTCCCTGGAATTAACTATTTCAAAAGGACTGTGAATGTTCGCACTGATGTTGTGCAAAGATAGACGTACTTCTGGTCTCTCAAACCAAGGGAGGGGACTAGGCAAGAAAAATAAAAGTGAAAGTGGAGCAGATGGTTAAGTATGATAGAGTACGCTTGAGGGCCATCTAGTGTACTCCTGATCCTTTAATGTTCCATATTCTGTCTGGAAACATGCTAAGATGAAGCCAGTCTGTTGGTAACATTCATATCACATTTCATCCTGAGATTCTCTTCTAATCTCAGTTTTGCGACCACTAAGACATTTCTTTAAAAAAATCTAAGTTGGACTTGATCAGGGATTTAAAGGCCCATTCAAGTTATATTTGGCTTGAAGATTGTGTACTGTCATAGTGATACCATAAGACATTGCAGAAATAGGGCATTTGTTCCATCAAGTCTACTCCACCAAGGAAATTGTGGCTAATGTGATAATCCTCAATTCCAGTCTTGCCATTGTTTAATTAACGGTATTGTTGTTGCACAGACAGTACACAACACATGATGAGAGATACATGATGAGACATACAGCTGAAATACTGTCAACATAAACATGGAAGCTAAGCCTATGAATTTGTGAGCAATGAGGGTACAGAAGTTGGAGAATTAAGACAACCATATTTTAATGGAAATGGAAGCATGCAAGCAGCTGGTATAAGGAGTGATCAGTAGACAATGATCAAAGGTGATTGGAGAACAGGGACCAGAGGATGACAACAGTCACGCTAGGATAAAGGAGGGGAGCATTTGCTTGGAGGCAGAGGATGTGGGCGAGATTCTAAGTGAGTACTTTGTGTCAGTATTCACCCAGGAGAAGGATGCACTCGATAATAAAGTTAAATCTAATTCTGTGGAGGATAGTGAGATTTGAGTGGAGCATGTTAATATGCTAGGGCATTTTGAGATCAAGAAAGAAGTGGTGTTGGGTATCTTGTAGAGCACCAAGGTGGATAAGTCCCCAAGGCTCAATGGTATCTATCCCAGGTTACTGAGACAGGCAAGAGAGGAGCTTGTTGGCACCTTGACCAAGATCATTGTATCCTCGTTAGTCATTCGAGGGGTCCTGGAGGACTGGCAAGTAGCTAATGTTGTTCCTCCGTTTAAGAAGGTAAAAAGGGATAATTCAGGAAACTATAAACCAGCAAGTCCCAGATTGGCGGTTGGGAAGCTATTGGAGAGAATTCTTTGGGATAGGATTTATTCGCATTTGGAAAAGTATGGTCTAATTAGGGACAGTCAACATGGCTTTGTGCAGGGCAGGTCTTGTCTTACCAACTTGATTGAATTGTTCGAGAAGACGACAAAGGTGATCGATGAGGGTAGAGCAGTGGTCGTTGTCTACATGAATTTTAGTAAGGCTTTCGACAAGATCCCTCATGGTAGGCTCATCCAGAAGATTAAGATGCATGGGATCCATGGTGATTGGCCATGTGGATTCAAAATTGGCTTGCCCATAGAAGACAGAGGGTAGTGGTGGAAGGGTGTTTTTCAGGCTGCAAGTCAATGCCTAGTGGTGTTCCGCAGGTATATGTACTGGGACCTCATCTGGTTTTTTATATAATCACAATGACTTGGATGAAAATGTAGATCAGCATGTTAGTAAGTTTGCAGACGATACAAAAATCGGTGGAGTTGTGGATAATGTCGCAAGTTGTCAAAAGATATAGCAGGATATAGATCAGTTGCAGATATGGGCAGAGAAATGGCAGATGGAGTTTAATCCTTTTAAGTGTGAAGTGCTGCACTTTTGGGAGATCAAATGCAAATGACACTAAAATAGGTGGTATTGTGGGCAGCGAGGAAGGTTATCGGAAATTGCAGCAGGATCTTGATCAGCTGGGGAAGTGGGCTGAGAAATGACAAATGGAGTTTAATATAGATAAACGTGAGGTGTTGCATTTTGGAAAGTCAAATCAAGATAGGAGTTTTATGGTGAATGGTAGGGCCTTAAGGAGTGTAGTGGAACAGAGGGACCTTGGTGTTCACGTGCATGATTCTCTGAAAGTGGAGTCAGAGGTAGGCAGGGCAGTGAAGACGACTTTTGGCACACAGGGCTTCATCAGTTAGGTCATTGAGTACACAAGTTGGGAAGTTTATGGTGCAGTTATACAGGACTTTGGTGAGGCCGCACTTGCGAGTATTGTGTTCAGTTTTGGTCACCTTGCTTTAGAAAGGATGTTATTAAACTGGAAAGAGTGCAGAAATTTACAAGGATGTTGCCAGAACGCAAGGGATGAGTTATAGGGAGAGGTTGGACAAGCTAGGACTTTTTCCTTTGGAGTGTAGGAGACTGAGGGGGGATCTTGCAGAATTGTATAAGATCATGAGAGACAAGGATAGGGTGAACGCACTCTCTTTTTCCCAGGGTTGGGGAATCGAGGACTAGAGGGCATCAGTTTAAGGTAAGAGAGGAAAGAATACATGGGAACCTTAAGGGCAACTATTTTACACAGAGGATGGTATGCATACGGAATGAGCTGCCTGCAGAAGTGGTTCAGGCGAGTACATTAACATTTAGAAGGCATTTGGACGAATACATGGATAGGAACGGTTTAGAAGGATATGGGCCAAGTGCAGGGAAACGGGGATAGCATGGATTGACATTTTGGTCAGCATGGACCAGTTTAGGCCGAAGGGCCTGTCTCTGTGCTGTAGGACTCTATGACTCTGAATGTTAAGGAAAACTATACAGTTAATGACAGGACCCTGAACAGCATTGACGTACAGAATGATCCTGGGGTTCAAGTCCACAGCTCTCTGAAAGTAGTCAAGCAAGCAGATAGCGTGGTAAAGGCAGCGTAAGGAATGCTTGCCTTTTCTGGCCAGGGAACGGAGTATGAGAATCGGGATGACATGTTGCAACTCTGTAAGAGACTTTGGTTAGGCCACACTTAGAGTAATGCATTCAATTCTGGTCGCCACATTACAGGCAGGATGGGGAGGCTTCGGAGAGGGTGGAGAAAGAGGTTTACCAGGATGCTGCTTGGATTTGACGATATGAGTTATAAAAAGACACTAGATAAACTTGGTTCAGAGACAATGGGACTGCTGAGGCCAGAGAATCTGAGATAACAAGGTGTAGAGCTGGATGAACACAGCAGGCCAAGCAGCAGAGGAGCAGGAAAGCTGACGTTTCAAGTCTAGACCCTTCTTCAGAAAATTTCTGAAGGGTTTAGACTAGATAAACTTGGGTTGTTTTCTCTGGAGTGGCGGACGTTGAGGGAAGACTTAATAGAAGTCTATAAAATTATGAGATGCATAGATAGGGTGGACGGCCAGAATCTTTTTACCCAAAGTTGAAATGTCTAATACTAAGGGGCATGCATTTAAGGGGAGAGGGGGAAGTTCAAAGCAGATGTGAGAGGCAAGGTTTTTACGTAGTGGTAGGAATCTGGAACGCACTGCCGGGGTCGTGGAGGAGGCAGGCATGAAAGAGACATAAAAGGGATTTTGAGATAGGCATGTGGATATGCAAAGAATGGAGGGATACGGACCAATGGCAGGCAGAAAGGATTAGTTTAATTTGGCATCACATTCGGCACGTCACCTTGGGCTGAAGGGCACGTTTCCATGCTGTACAGTTCTGTGCTCTATGTAAACAAAGATAGAAGAGCAGCCAATTTACTACAGTAGCAATCACCAACATAGTGATTTTTACAAGGACGATTTAGATGTTCTGTTTGACACATAGAAATTGAAGGGTTGAAGGAAAGCCAAAAGGACTGATGCTAGAAATGCAAGATCAGAAAAAGAGATGAGGACTTCCCAAATACAACTACAATATTTTCTGTGCTGTAGTTAGTGCAACTTACCACAATCTGATCTTCAGATGCTCCTGATACACTACTGTCATCAAAGTAATACCATTGTCCATCAATTTTATTTTTAGCATATGCAGTATCTGTTGGCAAGATAAAGAAAATTACACTCCTACATTCACAAATGAAGACTGTAACTTTTCAGTGAGTAAAGCTAAATTACTTACAATGGCCTCCTCCCATTCCTCCGTAGTGGTTAGTGACTGCAACAAGGTCATAGATGCAAGGGCCAGGTTTGGGATTGTAGACAAACTCAGACATGTTCAAATCTCTGTGAACCCATTAAAAGAACAAACATCAACATTTCAATGAATATAAAATATGCACCGACAAGGACTCACCAATGCATTTAATCAGTGGACCCAGACCATTGCTGCAACTAGAGCATTTTACTAGGGATAACTGACAAATCCCTTTTGCAGAATACAGATCTTGAAGCAAGCCTATTGGTAACTGTTTACTCATACTTCAATAACCTCATTTTATTTCAGTGAGATAGAGGATCTGGCAAAAACTAAACAGGTAGAAATGTTAGCAAACAGGACAGCAGATTAACAATGGAGGACTTTGAAACATCATTCATTGCAATGGAGTCAAAACCTTATGATCTTGAAGTTTCATTTCTATGTTCAGAGTTGGCATAATAATAGACCAAATAGATCTTTTCATGCTGTGACTTAAATCAGTCAATTCAAAAAGAAATGTGACTACAAATAAGGACCACAGACTGAACACTTCAGTTGTGCCATAATGTTATTTCCTTTTCTGATAGTTTAAAAGTGCAACATTACAAGAGGTATAAGCATTAACAGAATACAAAGATCCTAATTTTAGACTTTGAGTTTGTCAAAATCAACTATTTAAGAATAATAGTTTGAATAACAGTCTCTATTTAGATAGCACCTTTAACATAATGTTACAGAGCAAATCGGACAAAAATGAATATTAAGCTCAAGGTGATATTAGACAGTGTTGTCAAAAAACAGACAAAATGGATTTTGCAGATAACCTTAAAAAAAGAAGAGGTGGAGAAGCTGAGTGAAAGATTTCCAGATCCTTCCCTTAGATGGCTGAAGGCACAGGTGCCAACTGTGAAACGAAAGGAATTGGGGATATAGAAACAGAGGCGGAAGAATTTTTATTTTATTCATTCGTGATGTGTGGGCATTGTTGACTGGCCAACATCTATTGCCTGACCCTAGTTGCCCTTGAGAAAGTGGTGGTGAGCTGCCTTCTTGAACCGCTGCAGTCCATGTGATGTGGGTTGACCCATGATGCCATTAGGGAGGGACCTCCAAGATTTTGACCCAGTGACAGTGAAAGAACAGCGATACATTTCCAAGTCAGGACAGTGAGTGGCGTGGAGGGAATTTTCCAGGTGGTGGTGTTGGTGTTCCCATGTATCTGCTACCCTTTGTCCTTCTAGATGGAAGTGGTTTGTGGTTTTGTGGTTGTGCTGTCTGAGGATCATTGGTGAATTTCTGCAGTGCATCTTGTAGATAGTACACACTGCTGCTCATTAAGCATGCTGGTTTGTCCTAGATGGTGGGAAGCTTCTTGAGTGTTGTTGGAGCTGCACTCATTCAGGCAAGTGAGGAGTATTTCATCACATTCCTGACTTGTGCCTTGTAGATGATAGACAGGCTTTGGAGAGTCAGGTGGTGAGTTACTCGCTGCAGTATTCCTAGCCTCTAACCTGCTCCTGTAGCCACTGTGTTTATGTGATGAGTCCAGTTGAGTTTCTGGTCAGTGATAACATCCAGGATGTTGATAGTGGGGGAATTCAATGATAACACCACTGAATATCAAGGGGCATGGTTAGATTGTCTCTTATTGGTGATGGTCATAGACTGGCATTTGTGTGGCACCAATGTTATTGTCCCTTGTCAGCCCAAACTTGAATATTGTCCAGATCTTGTTGCATTTGAACATGGACTGCTTCAGTATCCGAGAAGTCACAAACGGTGCTGAACGTTGTGCAATCAGGAATACTGCAGCGAGTAACTCACCACCTGACTCTCCAAAGCCTGTCTATCATCTACAAGGCACAAGTCAGGAATGTGATGAAATACTCCCCACTTGCCTGAATGAGTGCAGCTCCAACAACACTCAAGAAGCTTCCCACCATCTAGGACAAACCAGCTTCTGATCTTATAATAGAAGGAAGGTCATTGATGAAGCCTGGGTTGGTGAGGGAAAGGGGTTTTCCCTTCCAGTCAAATTTGATAGTAACACAGTCTATTGTAAAATATTGATCTGGATTAAGTAGGATCATCTGTTCTTTCAACTTGTTCAAGTTTTATGTTCCATTTCTGTTGCAAAACTGCACTGAGAAATTGTAAGTACAATGGTATCTTCTCATTATTTTTAAAAGCTATTTCAGAAATAAAGTAAAATACTGCAAATGTTGAAAATCTGAAACAAAAACATGCTGGAAAAACTCAAGTCTGGCAACATCTTCCGAGTCATACCGGACTCAGAACATTAATTGTGCTTCTGTCTCCACATAGACCCGTTGACTTTCTCCAGCACTTTAAAAAACTTTTTTAAAATGCTCAATGGACGAATGCACATACCAGAAAATAGGAAACACCATTTGTGATCTGCACAACAGGCCAAAATGGTGGCCATAAAAACATTTTGCTACAGAACTCAGATAAATTTTGTATCTTCTGGATGCAGCAGCTCTAAAGAGGTAGGGATATACACCATAGAGGCTATACCATTAAACAGAAGGTCTGGCAATGTTAGTAACCTCTGTGCCCATTTTTAGTTCAATATCATTTTGTATTAACAGATGGGAGGCAGACAAGTTGCTGTTAAGGATTATAAGTGTGACCCACAACCTGGCACTCCTATGCATCACTCTTTGGCGTGGACCACATTTTCAGAGCAGCAAATTAAATTATTGTACTGGTTAAATAAAATGCTCCATACACTAAAATTAGTTAATCTCTCACCTTATAGGAAACTCTACTAGAGTGTCAAGTTTATCTCTCCAATACCTATTATATGAGAAACGCTTCAGATGTACGACGAGAATCTTTGGTAGTGACCACAAATCAAACTTTTTAGTGGCCTGCTGGTGCTTTTTACAAGTGGGGCAGTACCTGCGGAGACAAATAGCAGTAAAATACTAACATATCATTTCCCAAAAATGCATTTAATTAGAAATGGATTGTTAAACTTTTAGTAACTTTCACGTTTAATGTTCAATCTTTACTTCCCTTAACCCCATTTTATTTTTCCTTTAGTACTCCCTGCTGAAGGCATTGTTACAAGGTACTGATGCTTGTGTACAGTTGGCTGTCTACGTAACTGGTACTTCTGATCCTTGGAAGTACTGCTAATTCCAAGCCTGTACTTGCCCAAAATCCTCAAATGCCTATCAAGGATTGCGGGCAGTGATTGAAAATGTCACTGTAGATCAATATTTCCCTCGCTTACCTAGGGAATTGACAATTATTCCCTTCTCATTACAGTCCTGACTGGAACAAGTTAACTCAGAGCCTACAGGATAATCATGAACCAACAAACTCAATGTCTGGTGTTTGGACAAGTCAATTCATTGTGAGAGCTTGCTTGCAGTGCAATGATTGCAGCACTAAAATTCTGTACTTGGATTTCGTCTTGGGAGTACGATCTATTTTCATGTAATGGATTAGGAATTTTCTACATGGGAATATACAGCTATAAACTGATGTCAAATATTCCAGTCAAGAGAGTAGCATGGTGTGATTTTTGACGGTTTCTGAAGTCATCTCCAGCATGAAAAGTTGGACATTGCACAACTCCTATCCTTTGGAGAACAAAACAATTCCTCCCAAAAAAAATTCAATAACTTGGATGATAATTAATGAAACTCAACAGACACAGGTCAGCTTTCCATAATTCCACCATTAAACAACTGAGAAAATGACAAATGCTGCGAGTATTAAGTAATTATCTCCAGGGAACAGTACAAACTCGCACATCGGTAGATGAAGAGAATCACCTTGCATAATGATGTTTAATAATGTCCTAAATGACTGACTTATGTTTGCAACAAATCCATCAAAACTTCAATTATTTGATTTGGTTAGGTCCAAAATATCATAGATCTCATATCCTTAATTGTATATTCGTGTTTCCACAACAGATTTCATTGATTAAATTGATAAAATAATTGTTCTGACAAAGACTTCACAACAAGTTGCCATCAATGCCTGCTTACAATAAACACTAGAACTAACTGCTATTAAATTTTAGTTTTTAAACTCTTTTGCATGAAAACCAAAGAAATAAACAGATTAAATTCCAACTGAAATTATGTTTTAAACTTTCAACATCTCGATTCAGAAGACACTTCACATCTTTCATTTTAATATAACACTTTTATGAAAGCATTTTTGAATAAAGCTTTGACTTTACAACATGCTCTCATTATTTCTAACATAGCTGTGCTGCTTTTGAAAGCCTCTATTCCTATTATTTACAAAGATTATTTCTGTTGCTTTAACCGAAAAACATTTTAAAAGTTGGAATAAAACAGACTTTTAAAGTTAGCCACAAGAAAATTAATTGATGCACTGGATTTTCCTTTCTGGGTCAATGAGTTGAATTTATCCCAGAAGATTGGGATAAAAGATTTTTTTGTTTATTGGTAGCAAAAAGGTCCTTATTGCAGGAACAGAATTTCAGTAGTTTTCAAGTTCCAAATTGGCAATTTTATTTGGGGGTGGGGGGAGTGGTGGAGGAATACTAGCTTGCTAGTGAATATGGAAAATTAAACAAAAGAAAGAAAGGCACACTGCTGTGGGAAAGGGTGCTCTTCAGAGAGTAAGGCTTGGTGGATCAGTTTAGAACAGGATATTTTCATAAGCAAAATAAAAACTGATGGATGATAATAAAACGTAGGGTAGTTTGATCTTAGACTAGGATAATAGGTCAGCACATCATGGGGCGAAGGGCCTGCACTGTGCTGTACTGTTCTATGTTCTGAAAGAACTGCGGATGCTGTAAATCAGGAACAAAAAGAGCAGGTCAGGCAGCACGTGTGAAGAAAAATCAGAGTTAACGTTTTGGATCTGGTGACCCTTCCTCAGTTCTGTTTTTGCATTTTCATAAGCAATTTGCTATAGCTGATATGGGATATTAAGTGGTAAAAATGGGAACAATACCATTCCCTTGCACCAATATCACTTGCTTTTATAAACAGAAAAAGACATAAGGTGGCTAATACAATTATCAAATGTTCTTAAGTTACATAATTTAGTTAAATTTTTGCAAGAAAAACAGTAACATTAAGATGCATAAGTCCATTGTAAGCATGCAAAACAAAACATAATGTAAAACTTTTAACTACTTATGACAACCTTGTAGACCATCACTTGGTTGATTAGTTGTAGTTACTTTACTGCAATTATTTAAGTTTGCCTTTTTGCCAAGCTACAAAATATTGCCCCCTTTTCAGATTACAAAGTTGCATTTGAACTCAGATTTGAATCACTCCTTTCTGATAGTGGAAAGGTCACAGTACTCAAAACACAAAAACACTGGGCAAGACTAAAGAGAGTTGGTGGTAGATTTCTTTTAAAAAAAGAGAGGGACAAATCAGATGCACTGTGTACTAACCAAAGATCATGCTCTCCCAAGGTCTCCATTGTTGTAAACAAATCTATACATTCTCTCAACGCAACTGAGCTTCTTTTCTTTTGAGGTTGTGACATAGATTCATGCTTTTCATATGCCTGTAAAAATGACAAAAGGTGGCAAATTATTCTCATTTCACAATGCATTTTCTAGTTATGCTCTCTTTCATAAATTGTTCCAAGGGGCCCTCTTGTGGCACAGTGGTAGTTTGCCTACCCCTGAACCAAGAGGCCCAGTTCAAGTCCCACCTGCTCCAGAGGTATGTAATAATATCTGAACAGATTAATTAGAAAAATGGGTTAAAAAGAAAAATTGTTTTGATTTAAAATTTATTTCCTTGGCGGATAGACAATATCTGAAAGAACCTAGATCAGCATATTAAATTATGAAAGCAAAATTTGAATTAACAACCATCTAACCTCTTTGATAACATCACTAAAATTTTGCCAAATGTTATTTAGTTCCACTTATTTTGAAATTTCCCCACCTAGATCTCTCAGCAAATCATTTCAACTAATGCTGCAGATTGCAACCTGATAATGTCAACAACTTGGCACAGGGGGGGACTTGTAAGCAGGCAGGAGTAATTCAACCAGTAATTATCTTAAGAGGAGCCTGACCTTCATTAAGGGACTATTTTTTTCAATACTGAAAGCCAGGAGGGCCCTTGTGGTACAATGGTAGCATCCTCAGCTATGGACTAGGAGGCCCAGGTTCAAATCTCACCGGCTTCAGAGGTGTGCAATAACATCTGAAAGGTTTGATTAGAAAATCTCAAAATTAAAAGCTATGAGGAAAGGCTGAGGCTGCTCAAAAGTCACTGCAAATGTTGACTATTTTAGAGAGCGGACAAAATAGCCAATAGCCAAAATGTTCAGGAGACATGAATGATAAATCTCAGCTTTTGATTACACTTTAGGAATTCAGAATATGATTAAGTGGTCCAAGACTTCAAAACAGAATGTGTTATGCATACATTAGTGACCACACTTGCCGGTGTCTGCACTTCACCAGTCAATGCGTATCATACACTTTGGGCATGAAATGTCTTGTATAAAATGTTTGCCAGTATTTTTCACAACTTTAAATTCTGACAACACTGAGGAATATTTCACAACTCAAAATGTATCACTGGATGTGGTTGCTAATCATATTTATTTCTGTGTATGTATGTATAACCCTCCCATTTTATTTTAGATTACCTGCAAATTGTCACTTCAAGATCCTAGTAGTACAGGGACCAAACGCTTCTGTTCAACAGCAACAGGAATAGAAAGATTATCAAAAAAACCTTTTTTTTTTTTTTGAGTAGCCAATCGATGAAAGCTGAGACACATACAACTCCAGACTGCCAAAAACCTTCATGTACTACTGTGGTAATGCCCCTACCTCTGGACCATATGGCCCTAGTTCAAATCCCACCTACTCCAGGAAGTGAGAGATAGCATCATTGGACAGGTTGATTACAAAATTAAAAAAAACAAAGCTTTCCTCCCTATAAAAATCTGTAAAAGTGGAAAAATTTATAAAATCATAGAATCCCTACAGTGTGGAAGCAGGCCATTCAGTCCATCAAGTCCACACCAACCCTCCAGTGTCCCACCCAGACTCACCCCTCTACCCAATCCCTGTAACGCTGTATTTGTTACATAATTTTGTAACATAAAATCAGACTATAGAAAATAATTCGAGAACTCAATGCAGCAAAAGTTTGCATAGGTAGTAAGTTCATAATATGATATGAAAATTGCAAAATATTCAGCTATTCTACAGTTAAAGCATATGATGGCCAACAGTTATTAATATTCAGTTCCCACAAATCAAAAACAATTGAGTTAATACAATGTTACAGATTAGGGGTGAAAGAGCTCGTTTGGCTCACCTCAATGTGGTTGACTCTTAACTGCCCTCTGAAATGGCCTAGCATGCCATTTGGTCGTACTAATTGCTACAAAGTCTTAAAAGAAACGAAAACGGATGAAATCACCTGGCATCAACCTAGGCACCGGAAAATACAACGGCAGAAACAGCCCTCTTGACCCTGCAAAGTCCTCCTCACTTAACATCTGGGGACTAGTGCCAAGCAACAGCCTGACATAGTCTTACTCACAGAATCATACCTTACAGACAGACAATGTCTCAGACACCACCATCAACACCCCTGGATATGTTCTGCTCCACCGGCAGGATGGACCCAGTAGAGTTGGGCGGCACAGTGGTATACATTCAGGAGGGAGTTGCTCTGGGAGTGCTCAACATTGACTCCAGACCCCATGAAGTCTCATGGCTTCAGGTTAAACATGGGCATGGTGTTCTTGGTGATTACCATATACCGTCCTCCCTCAGCTGATGAATCAGTACTTCATGTTGAGCAACACTTTGAGGAAGCACCGAGGATGGTAAGGGCACAAAATGTACTCTGCATGGGAGATTTCAATGTCCACCATGAGTGGCTTGGCAGCAACACTACAGATCGAGCTGGTTGGGTCCTAAAGGACACAGCTGCTAGACTGGGTCTGCGGCAGGTGGTGAGGGAACCAAAAAGAAGGAAAAGTGTCCTTGACCTCATCCTTACTAATCTGCCAGTTGCAGCTGCATGACAGTATTGGTGAGAGTGACCATCGCACAGTCCCGCCTTCACACTGTGAATAATTTTCATCGTGTTGTGTGGTACTATCACCATTTTAAATAGGGCAGATTTTGCACAGATCTAGCAACTCAAGACTGGGTATCCATGAGGCACCGTAGGCCAACGGTAGCAGAATTGTACTCCTGCACAATCTGTAACTCATGGGGTGGCATACCCCCCACTCAACCATTACCATCAAGCCAGAGGATCAACGCCGGTTCAATGGAGAGTGCAAGAGGGCATGCCAGCACCAGGCATACCTGAAGACAAGGTGACAACCTGGTGAAGTAACCAAACAGGACCACTTGCATGCCAAACAGCGTAAGCAGCAAGTGACAGACACAGCTAAGCAATCCCACAACCAACGGATTAGATCTAAGCTCTGCAGTCCTACCACATCCTGTCATGAATGGTGGTGGAAAATTAAACAACTCAGTGGAGGGAAGAGACTCCACAAATATTCCCAATCCTCAATGATGGAAGAGCCCAGCACATCAGTGCAAAAGATAAGGCTGAAGCATTCGCAGCAAACTTCAGCCAGAAGTGCCGAGTGGATGGTCTATCTCAGCCTCCTCCAGTGGTCCCCAGCATTACAGATACCAGTCTCTAGCCAATTTGATTCACTCAACATGATATCAAGAAACAGATGGAAGCACTGCATATTGCAAAGGCTACTGACAACATTCCAGCAATAGTACTGAAGATTTGTGCTCCAGAACTTGCCGCTCCCCGATGCCAAGCCTTTCCAGTCGTTACAACACTGGTATCTTCCAGACAATGTGGAAAATTGGCAAAGTATGTCCTACACACAAAAACGGGCAAATCCAACCCAACCAATTACCACCGCATCAGTCTACTCTTGATCGTCAGTAAAGTGATGGAAGGCATCATCAACAGTGCTATCAAGCAGCACCTGCTCAGTAGTGCTTAGTTTGGGTTCCGCCAGGGCCACTCAGCTCCTGACCACGTTACAGTCTTGGTTCAAACATGGACAAAAGAGCTGAATTCTAGAGGTCAGGTGAGAGTGATAGCCCTTGACATCAAGACTGCATTTGACCAAGTGTGGCATCAAGGAGCCCTAGCAAAACTGGAATCAATGGGTATCAGGGGGCAAACTCTCCAGTAGTTGGTGTCATACCTGACACATAGGAAGGCAGTCGTGGTTGTCAGATGTCAATCATCTTAGCTACAGGACATCTCTGCAGGAGTTCCTCAGGATAGTGTCCTCGGCCCAACCATCTTCAGCTGCTTCATCAACGACCTTCCCTCCACCATAAGGTGAGAAGTGGGGATGGTGGCTGATGATTGCACAATGTTCAGCAGCATTGACGACTCCTCAGATACTGAAGCAGTCCATGTTCAAATGCAACAAAATATGGACAATATCCAGGCTTGGGCTGACAAGTGACATTCATGCCTCACAAATGCCAGGCAGTGACCATCATCAATAAGAGACAATTTAACCACCGTTCCTTGGACATTCAATGGTCTTACCATCACTGAATCCTCCACTATCAACATCCAGGGGGTTATCATTGACCAGAAACTCAAATGGACTCACCACATAAACAGTGGCTACAAGAGCAGTTCAGAAGCTAGGAATACTGCAGGGAGTACTTCACCTCCTGACTCCTCAAAGCCTGTCCACCATCTACAAGGCACAAGTCAGGAGTGCGGTGGAATACTCCCCACTTGCCTGGATAAGTGCAGCCCCAACAACACTCAAGAAGTTTGACACCATCCAGGACAAAGCAGCCCGCTTGATTGGCACTACATCCACAAGCATCCACTCCTTCCACCACCGATGTTCAGTAGCAACAGTGTGTACTATCTACAAGGTGCACTGCAGAAAATCAAAGATCCTCAGACAGCACCTTCCAATTCCCCAACAGCAGATATATGGAAACACCACCACCTTCAAGTTCCCCTCCAAGCCACTCAGTATCCTGACTTGGAAATATATTGCCGTTCCTTCACTGTCATTGGATCAAAATCCTGGAATTCCCTCCCTAATAGCATTGTGGGTCAACTCACATCAGGTAACTGCAGCGGTTCAAGAAGGCAGCTCACCACCACCTTCTCAAGAGCAACTAGGGATCAAAGACTGCTGGCCAGCCAGCAACACCCACATTCCACAAATGAATAGAAAACAAAAGTTCATCCATTCATTCTCCCATCTATGTTTTTTAAAAAATGATTTCAAAGTTATTAGCTCGATGGCCCACTTTGGAACTCAATACTAAATGTTGATTATTCTTTATGAAGACCTTCTTGATATCAATGCTAAACTTACAATTTACTAGTCTGAACCATTGTCCCCTTTTGCCCCATTCATAATTTAAATTTAAATTTGAAATTTGCTTTTCACATTCCTTTGGTTATATTCTATGCTCCTACAAAATCATAACTCGGGTACATCTTTCTCCTTCAAGAAGAGAAACCCAGGTTTCTCAAACCTTTCTTCATAATTTGTCAATGAACCCTGTGATGCTTCTCAACATCAGTCTTTAAGTGCTTTGATGTCTTCCTTGGTTTTTGGTGACTGGAAAGTGTTTGAATAAATTATTTTAGTTCAGAGATAACAGTGTGGAGCTGGAGGAATACAACAGGCCAGGCAGCATTAGAGAAGTAGGAAAGTTGACGTTTTGGGTCGGGACCCTTCTTCAGAAATGGAGGATGGGGACAGGAGCTCAGAAATTAAGAGAGAAGAGGGGTGGGGTTGGGGAAGGTAGGTGGGATGGTGACAGGTGAGTGCAGGTAGGCAGTGGTGGGGATTGGTCAGTGAGGTGGGAGGGGTGGATAGGTGGGAGAGAAGATGGACAGGTTGTGTCAGGTCAAGGAGGTGGGGATGAGAGGGAGGGTTGGTCATGGGATGGGGCCGGGGTGGGTGGTGGTGTAGGCTCCCAAGGCGGAATATGAGGTGCTGCTCCTCCAGTTTCCGGGTGGGGTCATTGTGACACTGGAGGCGGCCCAGGATGGACATGTCGCCCAGGGAGTGGGAGGGGGAGTTGAAATGTTTTGCAACCGGAGGGGGTTGTCATTTGTCGCGAACAGAGTGCAGGTACTATACAAAGCGGTATCTGAGCCTCTGTTTGGTCTCACCAATGTAGAGGAGGCCACAAGTTCAGAGCTTGTTTGAAGCTAATCTTAGTTATTGGCTTGATATTAATAAAAAATGTTACCATTTATGCTTTTATCTTTCACAAGAGATGGAACCACTTGTAAAGGTACATGTGTGCAAAGGTTTGTGTTATTTCATTGTGTTACTGTTAAGGTGTACTATTTCTGAAGGTGAGTTGCTCAAATACACATGCTGTGCATTCTCTTTCCTTTCCCTTCCTCCCCTCCAATGTTATTGATTCATATTTGCATGGCAACTGTTTGGCTGTTTGCACCGCTCAAGATGCTGGAGTTATAATTTTTTATGCTGTGTGGTAGCTTGAATACATTTGCAATTGATGGACTACACAAGATAGGGGCAAACAAATATGGAAGATTGACGAAGTGCAGAGGGGGAGAAAAACTGCTGTAATTCACAAACTGCATAATGCTTTTTGATGAGTAAGAAGAACTCTTCCTTTTCTCTTCGGAGGTGACTGCATTTATTATTAATTCTGTTAATTCTTTGTGTTCTTCAGCCAGGTCTCTGCTAACAGAACTTCTTCTCCCACTGGTTTATAATCTGTACAGTTCGGTTGGTTGCAAGAGTTAAGAGAGAAGAAAAATTGATTTCCCTTACTGATCAATAAATATTTTGCACTCAAGCCTACAAAATATCAGAAATACCTTTGATGCTTTAAAGTTCACTGGATCTTCCTTCGGAACTGAAAAATCTTATTGGCTGTTGGATAACTGTCCAAAAGATGGACTACATATTTGGTTCATACACTTTCACGATGTTGCTAATTCATATTCTCAAACAAACAATTCAGTGCGTTTACAGTGGATTAGGATAACATCAGCAGATTGTGACAGCAAGTTATTGAAGAAGAGTTCAGAAAAGATTGACAAAGATGTTGCCAGGCTTGGAGGGTTTGAGCTGCAAGGACAGTTGAATAGGCTGGGACTATTTTCCCCAGAGTTTCAGAGGTGGAGGGATGACCTTATAGAGGTTTATAAAATCATGAGGGGCACGTATAAGGTGAATACTTAAAAGTCTATTCCCCAGGGTAGGGAGTCCAAAACTATAGGTTTAAGGTGAGAGGGGAAAGATTTAAAAAGGGCCTGAGGGGCAACTTTTTCACGCAGGGGTTGGTGCGTGTATGGAATGAGCTGCCAGAGGAAGTGGTACAGGCTGGTACAATTGCAACATTTAAAGAGGCAGCTGGATGGGTACATGAATAGGAAGGGTTTGGAGGGATATGGGCCAAATGCTGGCAAATGGGGCCGGATTAATTTCAGATATCTGAGTGGCATGGACGAGTTGGACCAAAGGACCCGTTTCCATGCTGTGCACCTGCATGTGAGTCTGAGCTCTTTTTCAAATACAAATACCATTAATTCCATGGCCTTCATGTGACTACAGGCTCCACTTCATTGGTTAATTTTGCTCTGATCATTGGTGGCTTGGCTTAATATTTTACTGTAACACAATTGAAATAATTGTTCAATTTTATCCAATGAGTCTGTTCTACATTCCCATACCTGAAAATATTAGATTGCTTTAAAGTGAACCGCTTGGCCTGCATAATAAAGGTCTTAAGTACAGATGTTCACTGATGCTGTTCAATTGAATCACTGTTGTTCAAGAAATGATTTAAATTTAAAACTTCAAGTAATACAAAATTCTATATCTAAACACCTGAACACTCAAATCTATGACAACAAGGTGCAGGGCTGGATGAACACAGCAGGCCAAGCAGCATCATAGGAGCAGAGAGGCTGACGTTTCGGGCCTAGACCCTTCATCAGAAAAGGGGGAGGGGAAGGGGGTTCTGAAATAAATAGGGAGAGAGTGGGAGGCGGATACGAGAGAGTTGCAGTGGGAGAGAGATCCCTTGAGGTTTGTCCGGAGGGAGGAGGGTAACTTCTTTAGGCTAGGCATCCTTAGAAGAGGCTTCGCAGTGGGGTTAAAATTGAATCAGAGATAGTAGGAACTGCAGACACTGGAGACTCAAATCTATGCTATGTTTGTAACTAAAATGGGGGAGAAGCAATGCTCATGCTGAGCTAACTAATATATGTTGATAATTCACTTGGAAGTGTGTTACAGCGCTATCTAATTTGATCACTATGCCCTTACACTCAATTCCTAACTGAAAGTACAGCTTTGTTCATTTTCTCTGCTCTTCTAAATTTTTAGTTAAAAAGACTAACATTCACTGTATCTCCAGAGTTGTAGCCCCCATGTTGTTTTCTCATTTACCTCATTTCCTTATAGCAAGCAATATTAAAAAAAAATGCTGTAATGGTGGCGAAAAAAAGGTCCAAAGAAAATCCACCTACCTCAGCTTCTTGATCATCATAGTACATCATTTTGATTTCAGGATCCCAGTCTATAGCAATTGTGGAATGTGCTAGAGAAGAGCAAAATATTTTCACTTGAGTCACATGAAGAGAAAAATCAGTAAAACAAATTCAAGTGTCAAGCCGAATGCTTGTGGTCACATCTAAAAATGTCACAGGCATCATATTAATGATCTATATCCACCAAATGAGTGGCAGATTGCAATCAACACTGCAGTTTTTAAATGAGAAACTTAGACACTAAATTTTAATATAATCACATGTAGGTAAAGTGAGCCTTAGATTTATAAAACAAGAAAGATGATCCTACAAAATCTGACAATTTATTTTAAGTATACCAAACTGAACTATGAGAAAGTTGCGCATGCTTGTAAGCTTTACAATCTCAAACTTGTTAGCTAACTTTACATCCATGACTTTCTTCTTGAAAATACCAGAGTGGAGACGATAAAATAGGATGCTTTATAATGTACTAAATTGATAATTGTACAATGTAACAATTTTCGTTTTATCAAGGATATGTGACATTAGATAATCTTAGCAACCAAGTTTCATAGTGCAACTCCATTTTTAAAAATTAAACAATTGCAGTGATAAGATATTGTACAGAACAGATTGTTCAGTAAAAATCTAGTGGATTTTTTTAAGGTGATAATTTGATTGTTTAATAATCTATGCATCATATATTAATTTGTTTGGATTTTCAAAAGTTCCTTGATGAAACAAAACATAAAAAGCCTTTCAGTAAACTGCCTACATGGCATAATACCCTGAAGGAGGCACTGGAGTTTGAGTTGGGTGCACATTGGGTATGGGAAGTTCAAGTGCAATTGTGTATATTCAGTGAAAAGAAAAAAAAAGTTCAGACAAACTCAATATGGCGTCCACAGAACAAAAGGAGTTCAGCATCATCTTAAACTTTATAACTTACAGTTTAATTTGAGAAATGTCCCATCTTCTGCAACGGAGCTGAAATCCGAGGTGCCATAGGCATTCACCATGCTGAAACTGAATAGCTTCTTTGTACACTTCTGTTTATTTGCTTTGGTGGTGCGTTTGGTGGGCCCATTTTCCATCTTATCATTGTCATCAGCTGCAGAGCCATCAGACTGGCCGTTTTCAGATTCAGAACTATTTTCTTCATTATCTCCAACTACAGTTTGAAGATCCATCTCCTCCTCACCTAAATAATGCAAGACATAAATCAAAAGAAACCAACCCTCAAAATTAAGTTGCTAATTTGAAGTTTCATTACTGCATTGCCTAAAAACCCCTGTCCTCAAGTTTCTATAAAACTCTTGCAAACATATATGTTTATTCAAGAGAAGTGTTAGCTTTTAATCTAATGGGAAGGCAAAATTGTCATGGAACCGTCTTTAAAAAGGAGGTGGTTTAAATACAATGGAGGTACATTCCCGCAAGAGGGAAAGATAGATCAAAATAAAGCCAGAGCTTTGGGGCTGAAGGAAGGAAGAGATGGAGAGCAAGATGAAAAAGAAAAGGTGCACATGACAGTTCTCAGATTGAAAGTGAGAAGCATGTTTAATACAGAAAAGTTCAGAGCAGAAGTGAAAAAAAAGTAATAAAAGTGACAAGTATGAAGATATACGCAGAAAATATGGAAGGGAATTCAACAGTCTTCTACAGACATAAATAGTAAGAAGCTACTAACAGAGAAAAAAAGCATGTTAGAGATCAAAAGGGAATTATGTATGTCACAGGCATGATTGAGGTACTAATCAAATATGTTGCATCAGCCTTTATCAATAAGGTGCCAAAAGTCAGTGACAGACAAGCTTGTTAAGATGATAGCTGCATTAAAAATTGTTAAGGAGGTGGCTGAGAAAGGCTGGTTGTACGTAAAGTTGATTAGCCATCAGGACCGTATGAGATGGCCCTGAAGATATTGACAAAAGCAGGAACCCATGGAGTCATTGACCATAACCTTCCTTACATACAGGAGCAGTTCCACAGGACTAAATAATTGCAAACACAACAACCTTGTTCAAAAGAATGCAAGAATAATCCATGCAATATAGACGAGTGTGTTTAGATTTTGTGGTGGGAAAGCTTTTAGAAACAAAGTTTGGTCAACTAGAAAAATGTATATTAATTAGAGACAGCTAACACAAACTTGTTACAACATAAATCACATTTAATAAACTTCATTTTGATTTTTGGATAAGGTTACAAAAGGAGGTTGAAGGAAGTTAGGCCATTGGAGAGTGCAAAGACTTTCAGAAGTGTATGATAAAGCAGCAAAGTTAAAGCCAATAGAATAAAAGGAATAGTAGCAGCATGAACAACAACTTGGTCAAACAATAGGAAACAGTAGCAGTAAATAGTTGCTTTGCAGACAAGAAGAATGCAAGCAAAGTTCCACAGAGGTTGGTAGCAGGACTATTCTGCATTAATGACCAGATGTGGTTGTAAGGCAATTTCAATATTTGAAGCTGACAAAATCTGAAATCACTGATCTATGAGGAGGAATAAAGAGAACAGTTGAAATGCAAGGCAGAGAAGCATAACGCAATACCTTTTCAAAGGAATAATTATGAGATGCAATCTGAAAAGGTTATGGGGCAAAGGGACTTGGAACTGTAGTTGCACAAATCAAAGTGGCAAGACAATGTGAGGAAGTGGTAAACAAGGAATACAAGATCCAGAGCTTTACAGATAAGAATACAAAAACAAGTAAATTATGGGCAGGATTCTGCCCCCTCACCTGCCCCCAGTATTCACCTTCCACTTGTACCCCTTCCCATGGCCTATTACCTGCCCTTGATCGCTTCACTGAAAACTGCTGACATGACATCGGCAGTGTCAATTTCTCTACTCTCTCCCATTGTAACCTGTCCTCTTCTGAAGTTGCTGCACTTTGCTCTTTTCGGTCCAAACCTGACTTTGTTATCACCAGCTGACAAAGGCGCCGTTGTTGTAGTCTGGCACACTGATCTTGTGGAGGCTCAATGCCAGCTCTCGGGCACTTCTTCCTACCACCCCCAGACCATGACCCCACATCCGAACATCAAGCCATTATTACCAGAACTGTAACTGACCTCATTACCTCTGGAGATCTTCGCCCCACTCCCTCCAACCTGGTAGTCTCCCAGCCGTGGACAGCCCACTTCTACATCCTTCCCAAAACCCACAAACCACACTGTCCTGGTAGGCCCATTGTATAAGCCTGTTCCTGCCCCACTGAGCTCATTTCCTCCTACCCTGAATCCATCCTCTCTCCACTTGTCCAAATGCTGCCCACCTACAACGCAATTCCTCTGATGCCCTCCACCATGTTGAAAATTTCCATTCCCTGGCCCTAAATGCCACCTGCTCACCATGGATGTCCAAACCCTTTATACCTCCATTCCCCACCAGGACAGTCTGAGAGCTCCCAGGTTCTTCCTTGACCAGAGGCTGAACAATCTCCACCCACCACCACTGTCCTCTGCCTGGCTGAACTTGTCCTCTCACTGAACAATTTCTCCTTTAATTCATCTCACTTCTGCCAAGTCAAAGGAGTGGCTATGGGCACCCGCATGAGTCCCAGTGATGCCTGCCTCTTTATGGGGCATGTGAAACAATCCATGTTCCAGTCTTACACTGGCCCCCTCCAACAATTTTTTTCTTTTAAAATTGGTACACTGATGACTGTTTTGGTGCCTTTTTATGCTCCTGCTAGATCTTGAGAAATTTATTCATTTTGCCTCCAATTTCCAGCCCTCTACCTTTCACATTGCCCATTTCCAACACTTCCCCTCCTTTCCTTGACTTCTGTGTCTCCATTTTGGGTAATAAACTGTCCACTGCCATCTACTACAAAGCCAGTGACTCCCACATCTACCTTTACTACAGCTTGGCACACTCCACATCCTGCAAGGATGCCATCCCACTCTCCCAGTTCATTCGCCTACTTTGCATCTGTTCAGGTGATGCCACCTTCCAAAACAGCACTGCTGTCATGGCTTGCTTCTTCCATGGCCGTGGTTTTCGGCCCACTGTAGCTGACAGGGCTTTCAATCGTATCCAAACTACCACACGTGCTTCCACCCTTCCCATCACTCACGACAGCGTGATTGGGTTCCCCTTGTCCTCCCTTTTCATCCAATCAGCGTCCACATTCAAAGGATCACTCTCCACCCTTTCAGACAACTCCAGCAGAATGGCACTACCAAACACATTTTCCCCTCACTCCTACTATCTGCATTTCACAGGGATCGGGACACTCCACTCCATTCCACAACCACCAACACCTGCCCTCACCCCGTAGCACCTTCCCATATAACCAAAGAAGGTGCAACACATTGCCGCTTCACCTCCACCCTGCCCACCATCCAAAGGTCTAAACAGTCTTTCTAGGTGAAGCAGCATTTCACCTGCACCTCCTCCAGTCTTATGTATTGCATTCGCTGCACCCAATGTGGCCTACTCTACATTGGGGAAACCAAACGCAGACCAGGTGACAACTTTCCAGAACATCTCCGGTCTGTGCTAAAGCATGATACTGATGTTCGCGAGATGGTCATTTCAATAGAGCGTCCTGCTCGCATGCTCACTGGCCCGTCTTCAGCAAGTTGCACTGTTCCAGTGAATCAGAGCAAACTGGTAGATCAACATATCGTCTTCAGACTAGGCACTCTACAACCATTTGGACTTAATATTGAGTTCAACATCTTCAAATTGTGAACAAACTCTCATTTCTTCCCTTTCCTTTAGCTTGTTACATTCTGTTATCATGTCCTCTCTTCCCTCCCCACATCCTAGGGGGACTGTCTGTCCTTTCAAGGCTGGCAGGAGACACACCATTGTTCTGCCATTCTCATGTTCTTATCACTTAATCTGATCAACACCTTTTCTCCACCAGCACCCTACACCCACTAACCCCACACCCACACCACCCCACGCACCCCGCCCAAAACTGTAGCATAAATGCTGACCCCTCCACACCTCACTTCAGCTCTGATGAACAGCCGTTAAGACTTGAAATGTTAGCTTGCTCTCTCTCCATGGAGGCTGTCTGACCCAGTGGTGACATCCTGCATTTGTTGTTTTCAGTAAATTATCGTAAAGCTTTGTAAACCAGTAGTTTGGGCACCATACTCTAGGAAGGCTGTGAAGATTTTAGACCAGATGAAGAAAATATTACCCAGAATGATTTATGGAACGAGGGATTTGAGTTACATGGATAAATTAGCAAAGCTGTGGCTGCTCTCCTTAGAGCAGATAGAGAGAATATTTAATAGAAGTATTCAAAGTCATGACACATCTGGAGAATACACTGGGAGAAACTGTTCCAGAAAGATTGAGAAGCAGAGGTCACCAATTTAAAGGTGCACTGATAAAAACCAAAAGGTGATAAAAGAATAAACTAATCTAGTCAGCATGCAGTCAGGATCTGAAATGCACTCAAATTCAATCATAGCCTTCAAAATGGTCTGAATGGAAAACACCTGCAGGGCTGCAGGGAAAAGGCAGGTCATTAGGATGAGGCAAATTTATTTTGTAAACAGACAGCAATGAAATTACAGCCTGAATAGCCTAAATTGCCTAAATCCATGCCATAACTTTGATCTTGTTCTATAATTTCCTAAACATAGCGGTTGCTCAGTGACTTGCAGTGACTTACACGAGTCAAAACAAGGTTTTGCAATAATCTTTTTGGAAAGAGGACTTACAATTAAATTGGTCCTTAAAACCATCTTTTTTTAACTCTGCTATCGATCATTTGAAAAGTAAAATTTCTCAAAATATAGACTGACAATTCAAAAGCAACAGGTACAATTATTACAAAAGACATTAATCTAATATGACAAGTTTCACTGTTCTCACTCAGCAAGTTATAAATCAGCTGCATTTACTTTGAAATTATACATTCTTATTACAAGAGCTGTCTAGGTTAATGCACAGTCATACCTTCATCATTAATACCATTTGGCTCACTGGACAAGCCATTGTCTATGTTCCGAGTTCCAGAGCTATAGCTTTCATATGTTTCCTTACACACTTTCACGTAACGGCTGAAATAAAACAGAATTAAAATTTTATTAGGCCATTCACATCAGGTTGACAGTATAGTAATTATTTTAATTGGAATGCTATTTAAAGTTATTAGCTGCATTGTTACTAATACCAATAAAAACTTAAATTAAAAGCTAATGTTGAAAATAGCTTGATGTTACTACAAATCACAGGCAAGGCGCACCCGTGCAGAAATATAGTTTTAGTAGCGTTAATTAGAACTAACTGCATATTTGGAGCTCAATTACAGCGCCATGGTTGTATATATGATTCATATTTAATGAAATTTAGAAGCCAGCCTAAATTTGGTCTGCTTAACACAAAAGCACAAGAAATAGGAGACCATACAGCCCATTGAGCCAGCTTCACAATTTGATACATTAATCTCAACTCCAGCGAGACACGCACTGCACAAATTCAGATTCCCCAAGACTAAAAAATCTGTTCACCTATCTCAGTCTTTAAGTATAGTTGGTATTGGAGTGGCAGAAAATTCTAAAGATGCCTAACCCTTCGGGGGAACAAATTTCTCACCTCAGTCCTCAATTACTGTCCACCTGTCCGCAGACCAGTTTTGCCGGCCACTGCCCTCCAACACTATCCATCTTGTCAAGCCCAATCAGAAACTTACACACACATGCTGAATGTTCTGAACTCAGCAAAGGCCTCAGCGTTCCCACCGTAACGAATTTCTGGCATGACATGACGTTAAACTCTTCTTCTGCCATCTTCGCCTCTGTGCTTATTTCTTTGGGCAAGAGTCCTCTCCGCATCCCACTGAGTGCTTCGCCCAGCTTGAACACTCTCCCTCCACATGGGGCCCTTCCACTGGCCTTTTACCTGCACTCTATCTGTTCATTGAGAACTGTCAATGTGACACTGGTCACCTCAATTTCTCTGCCTTTCCATCCCCCTCCAAATCCAATCTCTCCCCCTCCGAACTGACTGCACTTAGATCCAACCCTGACTTTGTTATTAGGCCTATCGATAAGGGTGGTGCAGTTGTAGTCTGGCGTACTGACCTCTACATTACAGAGGCTGAGCGCCAGCTGTCAGATACCTCCTCCCATCTTCCCCTGGAAGATGACCCCACCATGAAACATCAGGCCATTGTATCAACTACGGTAACAGATCTCACTTCATCTTGCAAGCTCCCCTCACCACCACTGCCTCCAAGCTGATAGCCCCCAGCCCTGCACAGCTCACTTCTAACGCTTTCCAAAAATCCACAAACAGGACTATCCAGGCATTGTTTTGGCCTGCTCCTGCCCCACAGAACTCATCTCTTCCTACCTTGATTCAGTCTTCTCTCCCCGGTCCAATCCCTGCCACATACATCCGTGATTCCTCTGATGCTTTACACCAGTTTCAAAATTTCCAGTTTGCACGCTCCAGCTGCCTCCTCTTTACCATGGACTTGTAATCCCTTTACACATCCATTCCCCACCAGAAGGATCTTAGGGCTCTCCGCTTCTTCCTGGACCAAAGATCTGAACCATTCCCACCAACAACACCCTCTTCCACTTGACTGAGCTTGCCCTCACCCTGAACAACTTTTCTTTTAACGCTTCCATTTTCTTCAGATCAGAGGTGTGGCCATGGGAACCCAAGTGGTCCCCAGTTATGCCTGTCTCTTTGTAGGGTACATGGAACATTCATTGTTCCAGTCCTATTTTACCACCGCCAGGCACATTTTCCCCTCCTCTCCCATATCTGCTTTCTGCAGGGACCGTTCCCTCTGGGACACCCTAGTCCACTCTTTCTTCATGTCCAACACACCCCCACAGCCCCACGGCACCTTCCCCTGCAAACAGCAGAGGTGCAACACCTGCCCATATACCTCCTCCCTCCCCAGTATCCAAGGGCCCAACCTAAGTTCCAGGTGAAGCAACACTTCACTTGCATGCCCCCGTATCTAGTCTACTGCATTCACTGCTCACCAGGTGGTGTCCTCTGCACTGGGGAAATGAAGCACGGACTGGGTGACCACTTCGCAGAACATCTAAGTTTTGCCCACAAAAAAGACCCTGAGCTTCCAGTTGCCTGCCACTTTAATACTCCACCCTGGTCCCTGGCCAACATCTCTGCCTCTGGCTTGCTGCAGTGTTCCAACGCAGCTCAACACAAGCTGGAAGAACACCACGTCATTTTCCACGCGGGGACCCTGCAGCCCTCCAGACTCAATACTGAGTTCAATAATTTTAGGGCCTAAACTCTCCAATGTCATAGCTTCCTACTCCACACAGTGGGCCTTATGACATAGTCTGCCATTACACACTACCTATTGTAGTCACTAACAGTCCCCATTAACAGCTATTCACCCTCCTAGCCAGATCGTTATCAACATCTTTCTTTATCCAACTGCTACTTCTCAGTCCTGAGGAAGGGTCACCGGACCCAAAACGTTAACTCTCTTTTTCCTCCACAGATGTTGCCAGACCTGCTAAGCTTTTCCAGCAACTTGGTTTTTGCTACTTCTCTCTCTTCGGGCTCTGTTCTTTATCCTATTGTTTATTCGTTACCCCCCCCCCTCCCTACTTTCTGCATATAAACCAATGTTTTCCCAGCTACCATCAGTTCTGAGAAAGGGTCACTGGACCCAAAACATTAATTCTGATTTCCTCTTGACAGATGCTGCCTGATCTGCTAAGTTTTCCAGCAACTTCTGTTTTTGTCCCTTCAGAAACTTGTACGTTTCAATGACATTCACACCCAGAAAGCAGTTTGTCAGCCTTACTCTGGCTTTGTACATTATAGTACATTTAGTACACTAAACCATGTGCCTGTGGAATTCAATGCTAACATAATCCTCATCTGTATTTTCTTCAACAGATGAAGTAGGGGATGGACTTTTCCTCAAAGAAAAATCCTCCTTTTTAATGTGTCACAATTAATTTGCAATTTTAAAAATAGCTTGTAGGAGAAATTTACAGTTATATAGCTACACTACAGCAACTAGGAAAGAGGAGAGCACTCAGTCTCTCATGCTACAGTATATCATTGCAGTCAGCTAGCAGCAAAGTATCATTGTCACCAGGCTATTGAAGTGAGCCCTACAGCAAAAGGATGGTCAATCTAATTGGTCTGAAGCTTTTCTGCCAACTCGTAACCAGCCAGTGTTTTAACAAAATTGCTTTCTCCAGACACCAAATCTGGGAGAACAAAACCGTGATGTCATTGTACAAAAGTCACTTTCTGGTTACTTGTCCTGTAATCTAGGTTTCACTAGAATTGACAAAGCAAATAGAAGGAACTTTGCTGAGAAATCCACTAAATGGTTGTAAATCCCTCATGTCTGAACAACAGGTTATTTATATCTTACATTGGAAGCCCTACAGCAAAAATTTAGATTGGCCCATAGGATGAGAAGCCAAGTGAACTGTACATATAATCTCCAGAATTTAGAAGAATGAGATGATCTAACTAGACAGGCAAGACTCTGAATGCGTTTTACAGGTGGATAGTGAAGGCTCTTTTCCCTAGGCTGCGGATTCTCATTGAATTCTCAAACATCTTGGGCCGATTGTTTTAGGACCAATGTAAAAGGGAAATTCTGTCACTCAGAGGGTTGCGTAGATTAATTAAAATTTTCTATCCAAAAGAATTATGGATTCTTCATCATCGAATATATTTATGGCTGAGATAGACATTTTCATTTCCCAGTGAGTTAAAGATTCAGGCATAGCAAGTACCACTCTTTGGACTAGATGTTAAATCACAATGCAGTCTACTTGCTTCAACAGCTTAAATCATTATAAAAAACCTCAAAATAGAAGCAGAACAGATTTTTAAAATTATACTGACTATCACCATTAACGTAACGAAACAGACTATTTCATCATTCATGTCATTGCAGCTTATGGAATCCTGCATATCAGTGGCTGCAGCTCAAAGTGACTAACTGCACTTGCAGTGAATTCTAGACCTGTTAATTCGCACATATTTCTTTCTTTTGAAATAGTCAAAGTATACTCAGTTCTCCATTATTCAGAGCTGGCCAGGATGCTTTCCAAAAGGAATATCTGTGGTCCTCAATAGCGTATATAATTTTGATTCTTGAAGTATTTGATCAGCTCTCTGTACCCAAGCCCCATGGAGTATATTTTCATACAAGATTTGGAAGTTGAATGAGTATATAAATTTTCCAATGTCTACTTGAATTTCAGAAGAATAGGATATGCCCAAGCTACAAGAGAGGGCAATTAAAAACTCCATGTTAATCAGATCTTAATTTTCTTATTAAAAATATCAAATTTGAAAGTATGACAAGTGCACATGTAAACATGACCTTTGTTTTCAGCCACTGAATTCATCAATGCTGACTTTAATAAATGACTGAGGCATACGGAGGCAATACTCTCCAATCAGGTCCTTATTTTAGTCAGATATTTGGTCACAGTACAATAGTGGAACTTCAGCACAGAGATCATACGTTCATAGCAATTCGTGAAAGTGAATTCAGAAAAATGACTGAGAAATTTGTATGTTAGAAATACTAAGTGGTTCATTTCAGAGAAACAAACTTGCCACCTTGACTTGATCCACTCCACATACAACTCCACTGGGTTGACTCGAGCAAATAATAAATTGTAACAGCACAAAATAGATAGACCAAAACAGCATTTTCCACATAACAGAACATTTTTTTGTTAACAAAATTTGTTTCCTGTTGTTGGCTATTAAATGTTCATCAATGAGTGACTATGCAGTTGAACACAAGTGCATGGACAACTTACAGCATGTAAAGGATTTGGAACCGCAGCTTAACATCATAAACAGGACAGTGCAGGACAAAGGTGATCTGGGAACTTAGACTCAGAAATTAAACGGAAAGGCTACCAGTTACTTCTGAAATTGGGAAGAGGGATTAATGCAAGAATCACAAATTTTGCAGCACTTCTATTTGAAGTCAGTGTGTAAAAGCAAAGTGATACAAGCAAGCCACTTGGACAATTTCTCTCATTCAATAAAATTATATTAGTAAACTTACGAAATTCGTGAAAGGACTAGTTCATACAGGCTATCCACTGTAACATTATCCCTGGGAACAGAGACCAAGAGAGGCTGACCAAAGAGAATGGTGCCAACAGGTGCACTTGAGGATCGCATCCTTTTCTCACGGAAATAAATTGGGAGGCTGATGCATTTTGAATTTTCAGAGTCTTCCTCTCTCGCACCTGGAACCTCATAACTGTAAAATACAAAGAATATTCAGCAGCTCCAAGAAAATAATCTTCACCTAGAAATCAAAACCAAACAGGTGTCAACAGTTACAGAACATCACTATGTGGTAGAATTGACTGATAAGACTAATTCCCCCAACTCAGGATGTCAACATAAAAACCAAAAGAACTGCGGATGCTGTAAATCAGGA